CTGCTCCCACTGGTTCTGCGGTTCGTCCCTCCCTCCCTCCCCCCTTTCCTCCCCCGATCCATCTTCACTGTTCCCCCTCCCTCCCCGGAAATTTTGCCACAAATTGTATAGAGGCGTGAGCGTTCGGCTGGTCACGGGAAGCTGCTGCTCCTTCCCTTCGGATGCGGGGAAGGGGGGCTCTGGATTGCTCGGAATTGCCGACGAGTGTCAGATTCGTTCGATTGTTCAGATCAATGGCGAGCTGCGGAGCCGTACGCCCAGATCGAGAACTTGCCCTTGTTCTCTCCTAGTTTGTCTAGGACATGCTTGCTCGAATCGATCCGAAATGAGGGTTTAGGGTGCTCTGGTTTGCTTAGGGTGAAATAATGGAACTCATATAGTGTGTAACGGGATGGCAGGACAGTAGTGGGTACTAGAATCTATGTGCACCACCTGTTTGATAACAGGGTAGTGTCTACTAGAATGTGCACGACAGAAATATCTGCCATATTTCAAGATTGCCTCTCATTATCTGGAGTTTAAAATTGTTTCCTGCAAGTACTGAAGGCGATGAACACCATCCCCTCGTGCAGCCATTGTAGAAAACCCACATTCATTGCCGATATAAGCATCGTCTCGGCCCATCCAATGTCCGCTCACAGGGCCGAAGCAACAAAATCACATGTGCGTGTTCATGTTGAGTTCAGATCGTTTCCGCCTGAAACAAAGGATGAATTACTTCTGGAATTCCATATGCATCCTTGTATCTTGGTTGAAGGATACTAACTATCATTTTAAGGAAATGTGGCGCTAATTTTGTTCACTAGGAATAAGCAAGTTTGTCTGCCTAAAGTGTATAATCAATGTAATAGTACTCCCTCCGTACACTTTTATAAGTCGTTTCAGACAACTCAAATTGAGCTGTTTTGCACGCTGTCTAAAGTGCCTACAATGCCTTATAAAAGTGAACAGAGGGAGTAGATATTACCATATGGTGTGTTACAGTGGAGATGTCCGCTGCATAGGTTATTATTTGTCTTCCGGGTTCCCCTCTACACAATATGTTGTAATATCTTGTTGCTGATTCACACATTGTCTGTACTTCACCCATCTTATTCCTGTGTAGGGTACGACATTATCTTCTATAGTTCTATTACTGAAGATTTAGTTAGTTCTTCTAAGTTCCCAAATTTTGCAGGAGAGTGCATCATCCGTGTTTGGAATCATGGAGCTGCTGTACAGCCTTGCAAGTGTCCCATTTGCCGCCGCCTTATAAATCTGCTGGTACCTGCTAATGTATCAGACGATCAGAATGATGATCCCCAGCTTCAGCGTGTTTTGGGAGAGATTCAGCACTACAATCACATATTCGGTGGAGCACCACGCAGCCTAACTCAGGTTTATACTCTGTTCTGCCATGAAAAGCTGGCTTCATTTATTTCAGATACATAGTGTACACAAGAGATATAGCCAAATGATCTAAAATTTTCAGCCACCACAAGAAGACCGACAATTGTTTTCCTGATATAAATATCACAATTGATATTTGATTGGCCAAAATTCCTGATAGCACTTCAGCAATGCCAAGGGGGAAATGTGTTAAGTCTCCCATGTTCTTATAGGCTAAAACTTCCCATGTTAATGACTGTAGGGAAGGGAAATAGTTATAGAGCATCACTGATGGTGTTGCCGGATTTGAACATTGTGAATTGTTTAGTTATAAGTATTCAAGATTTATACTTGTCATAATAGATGTTAGTATTGTAAATGAATTGACTGTATTTTGTAATCCAAAGACAAACTCTAGCATTTACAAATAATAGGTTATGGGTAACCACTAGTTCATTATTGTCTTTTTCAGAGGCTGCAAGACCTACCGTTTTTCATACGAAGGCTGTTCAGAGAACTAATGGATCCCCAGAGGACCCTCCCACTTGTATTCAGGGCGAGGATGATTCTGATGGTACGAATGTTGTAGGCCATTAAACTATGTTTATACCATGTTAACACTATTACACTGGAAAACTACTGAGATGGTGGAAGTAAACCAAACAGGTCACACTGTTTGTTACTTCATTCATCTTCGTACCTTCCGTTGGTGACCGGTGCTATGGATGCGAGGCATGAGACCGATCAGAACGTAAATACGAACCTGACGCTCTTGCTGATTCGAACTATGTAGGTGATCCTGAGCGGAGTCTACGTCCTGAGCCCCGTCGACATCCTCCCTGAAAGTAAGCGAGTCAATCTCCCTTTTTATGTCCACGGTGACGTTTGATGCATCAGTCAATCGGCATTTTGATGGGTGTTGCTGGATGTGCAGGCGTGCTGGGGCTGTTTGGGTTCTTCGACGACTTCCTCATCCTGGTGATCGTGTTCCTCCACCTGGCGGCCGTGTACCGGTCGCTGCTCCTCTACCGCCACGGAGGCCACTGATCTGGACTCGGCGCGCCGCTGATGATGCATAGTAGCAGTAGCTGGTGGCCGCCGCTGTACGTACCCCCACACCGATGGCGGTTTGAGAGGTCTGAGCTGTACTGTACGGGAATTAATGTTTCGCTGTGTTAATGAGGGTGGAGCGGCTTTATTTGGGTTTGCTACTAGATGGATCGTGGATGATGAACAAACACGCTGTACTTTAGCTCATTGTCAGTGCTATAGTTGATACGATCAATCAAGAAAAGAAAAAGGCAACCAACAGGAAGTTGTTTATTCTCGTTCGAATGCTGGTTGATACTTCTACTACCGATCATCAGACCCCACTATCCTTCCTGTGTCCTGTGGAATTAGTGGGGTGTTTTTCTCGAGCGTCAAGTTTGAAATACAGGGTATGTTTGCTTGACAGCATCGTTTTTGGCATTTTGCAAACTTGTCCTAATTGGGTCTGGTTGAGCAAATGCAAGCTAAAAATGTTCATTTGAACGATGTTTGTCTCCCTGTATCGTAGCACCGATTATAGACCCTGTATTTGGTTGTTTGCATTGGCTGGGCTCATATTGCTACACACTGTTTTGTTGCATATAGGCAACGAGGTCTAATAACCTCCTTTCGGAGTGGTGAGTTTACCAGCACTTTAGCAAGCACAGCATATGTCGCAACAAGTTCAATATAGTGCCACAGAATTAAACAAAGTTTAGCAACACAAGTACGATAAACAGAGCTTTAAACAAACAGTCTCATGCTAAGCAAACCAGGTAAGAGTAAACGTTTTAGGCATCCATCGTGAAGGCCACGTCGTGCTTCTTGTACTTTGCCACCACCTCCACGCCTTCTTTGTTGAAGACGATCACCCTCATGTTGTCTGGAGTCAGCAGCTTGAAAGTGACTAGGTACTCAATCTTGATATGATGAACGGCGGCGAAGGGGGTCCAACCCTTATCAAGGGCGACTCTGTCGTTCATCACCCGTACCAACACCCTCTAATTGCAGCCAGTGTTGGTCTCCAGCTTGAATTCTTTAGGGACGACGAAGAAGTGCTTGGTGGAGTCAAGTGGCATCAACAGGCACTCCAGATTCGGAGCAAGGATGACCTTGTAGAAGTGGGTTGGCCCAGCCTCGACATGGAAATGACCGAAGTTCCTGGACCGCTTGGGGGTGCTGGGGAGCTCCACCACCTCCTTGCCTTTCTCTTCTGCCGACACCACCTGCTTGCCCTTGTGATTTCCAAGGAGCGCTCTCGATCTGCATAATGATCAACAACACGAATAGAGGTCAATGAACAGCACAAATATAGCGTTGACTGGGTACGAACGAGTGGATTTGCATAATTATGAACACACTACAAGAGGTAGCATCAGCAGACCAAAAATGCAACACACCATTGCCCTTGAGGGCAATCCTAGCGGTTTCGAGGCCCGTAGCCTAGTTGTCGTCCACCATCAGCGCTTCGTGGCCGTCCTCCGGCGCCACCGCGACGACCGATTGGGCATGATGAGGCCTGGCGGGCCTGTACTTTGCCCATCTAGCCCTTTGAACAGGCTTGCGAGGCCTCCTTATGCCCAACCGGTCATCGCGGTGGCGCCGGATCCTGACCACGATGCGCTGGTGGTGGACGATAACTAGTCTACGGGCCTTGAAACGCCACCATTGGTCGCCGCGGGCAAGGTTGATTTACCCCACCCCCCAGCACCTTGTACTCAAAATCACCGTACGAACCCTAAAATCCGATGCTCGAAATCCAATCCCCTAACCGTCCGGTATTAAAACTGATCCCCAACGCTTGAATCGATTGCGGAAATCCAATCTAAAACGCCAATCGAATACAGGAAATCAAAAAGATGGGACAAATGGCTTACCGCCATTGCTGAGCTGCTGCCGGCGCGGTGCTGAAGACGGTGATCGCCGTCGGTGTGAGAGTGGGGATAGGGGAGAGAGAGCGGTGAGGGTAATTTACGCCGCAGTTTTGTGAAACAACTCGACGCCTCGAGACTGCCGTCGCCCACATGCCTCGAGTTGCATCGCTCGGGCCTGGCTTTGGAAAAACGGCCTCGCCCGTTCCCTCTGAGCTAGGCCCAGAGGTGTGTTTAGTATTTTGATGCGGTATAAACAATCAAAGAGGTCAAATTCTCCCCGCACGGATCTGGTTGGGGTGGATGCGGGCAACAAGCGTCCAGTAAATGACGGCAGGAGAAGGAAAAGGGCACCTGCATATCAAACGAGGATACTAGTGTGGTGGGTGATGCGTCTACCTACGCTGCTTGCTGTCAGTCAAAAGAGAGACACCTGCAGCTGCAAAACAAAACGAAGCCTGTGGTGTGTTTCGTTTGTGGTGGCTCTTGCGAGGCCTCGCGATCGCGAGTGGCTGGCTGGAACCGAACCGGCTCCCAAGGGCCATCTCCCTCCCTCTCCGGCTTCCCCACCCACCCACCTCTGCCGAGACCCGAGAGGAGAGAGTCAGACCGGCCGAGGAGCCAGCCACGCCACACCACAGGGAAGACAAGAGAAGCAGAAGCAGAGGTGTGGGGAGGAGAGCCACAGGGAAGAAGAGAAGCCAGGAGCGGCGGCCGCCCTCGCCCTGCCCCATGCGTGCGTACTGCTGCTCTTCTCCCCCTTCCTCCCCTCCCTGGTTGGTTGGTTCCGCCTCCCGCCCCGCGTTGATCTCCACCCACCCACCGCGCCAGTCGATCTGTGACTGCGTCGGACGGCTTTCTTGATACTACTTTTTTTTGGCTCCATCCTTACCGCTCACCATTTGTGCGGCACTCTCTGCAGGATGTTGGCCAGGTCGCCGGCGCTGCCCTCCCCCTTCCTGACGGCCACTGAAACTGCCGCCGCTTCCTCGGCCTTCTTCCAACCCGTAAGATCCGATGCCCCACCCCCACCTGACTAACTAACTAACTAGCCCCTTGATTTGGTTTCAACTGCTTGCGCGCGCTCACTCTGTTTATTGGGGATTTAATTTATCCCACATAGGAGTACTTACTACCAGCTAATATATGAATTCCCTCCTGAATACAATTAAACTGCACGCTCCTTATATACGCTAGCTAGTGCAGTTTCGGTGCACCAATATCAATCATATATTCATATGCCAATAGCAAATCCACCACATCTTTTGCTACTGCCTCTGTTTCTCAACAGAGGGAGTAGCTCTGTACTCCAACCTGTTCAGTATATATTCAGATGATATGTGGAACTATTTATTTTAGGCTTTTTTACTACTACCAAGCGTAATTACAGTTTGGAATCTGAGTCCCCAAGGGCTACATTCACAGTGATTGCTTTCTCTGCAAATCTCAGCTTAACATCCCAGCCGTTTGTTTTCTCTGCCATATATTGTGTTATTACACTTGGAGTCTCCAGTTTCTCAGTTTCTCTTCCTGTTCACCTAACGCACATCGCTGACTTCTGACTGTGTGGGGTTCATCTTCTATTCCTCCAGTGCCATCTCTCGACATCTCCAAGTGTCACCTTTTCCAAGAAGACGCATGGAACAAGATTAACTGTCCAGCCAAACGCTCGGCATGGAAACACTAAAGCTGCAAGTAGGATTCAAGGAAAATGGCGAACACTGTCATCTGACCCAGCTCAGGCCGCCGCTGTGGTGGATGCCGCCGGTAACAGCAAGACATGGGTAGAGTGCAAGCAGATACTCACAACACTGAATTTCTCCACCGAAGATGCCGAGAAGATGCTGAAGAAGGCGTTCGGATGGCTCCATTCGCCATACTGGACCGAGGAGAGAAAGAAGGAGGTTCCGAGCACGGAGGTGGTAAGCGGAGTGCTGGACTACGTCAGGGGCCTCGGGCTATCTGACGAAGACCTTTACAAGCTGCTCAAGAAATTCCCAGAGGTTCTTGGGTGCGATCTTGAGAGCGAGGTGAAGCTGAATGTCGGCAAGCTGGACAGCGACTGGGGTATAAACGGGAAGACTCTCCGGAGTGTTCTTTTGCGGAATCCGAAGGTTTTGGGCTACAATGTGGATTGCAGAGGGGACTGTGCGGCGCAGTGCACCCGCTGCTGGGTTAGGTTTTAGTGTGCTGTTCTGAATTATTACTGCGAACACCTTCAGAAGTTCAGCCGATACTCTGTTTTTGCATCGATTAATCAAACCGAGCAGATTTGTATAGATGGATGTACTCCTCCGGGCAGGTTTATATGTAAAGCTCATTTACCAGGTTTATATATAAAGCTCATTGACCGAGTTTATCATGAAAAATATTGACATCTACAACTTCACATAAATCTACTATAAAAACATACTTCATGACAGATCTGATGATGTTGGTTTCGTGCCGTAGATGCTGATATTTTTCTGGATAAACTCGGTCAGACTTAAGTAATAAATGTGTGGGTTTACTTCTAGTATAAAATAAAGATTACTAGTAGAACTGAAGCAGTTGATAAGTAATGATAACAAATTAACAGGTAGATGAAATCGTATAACCATAACCACTCGTGGCAGACAAGTTGGGGCACAGCGCGCAGACAAGTTGGGGCACAGCACAGGGCACACAAATAGCTTAAATAAACAAGATCAAACAGACCCCATGAGTCATGGCCTCGTGGGTGCTATGACAATCCGCTCGCTCCGTGCCATGATTCTTTCGTAGCTGCGCCATCCCACAGCTAGAATCAGGCGCGACGCGAACGGCTGCATTACTAGGACATTCCCCAGTGCGAACATGCTCGACACCGGGTGCGCACTCAACTCGCGGTCTCTTGTTGAAAGCAAAGCACACAAGTTTAGAAACCAGCAGCACACTCAACTCAAAATAGGAAAAGAAATGAAATGAAAAGCAGCACAACCCGAAGAGGAGAGCTGGAAATTACCAGCACACACTGACCGATATAATTTCAAACGGGAGCATCCATGATTTCTATTTCAAGAGGTTGACTTGTTATGCAGATCTCTTCTTCAAGAAGCTGACTTGGTATGTGGATCTTGTCGCCCAGGATTTCCATTCCCATCAACGACCATAAGAACCAGACATTTGTGAGGAACTCCCCGCCATCACCCAGGCTCTTGGCATGCAGGTAGCCTCTGCACCTACTGGCAGAATAACAGAGCATCTCCACCCACACACCTTGGATCACCTTCCACCTCTCTTCCTCGTTGGGGTGTTCCATGAGCTTCTTTGCGAGTTTGTGCGCATTGGGAACGACATCTCCTTTAAGTTCACCATGTTCCATGAGAAGAATCCTCTGTGCAATGCTTCGTGGATCATTCTGGTCCGTGAGAATGTGCTTGATATCATTGCAAGCAACTGTGAACCAATCTTGTCTCGTCCCTGGCATTAGCATCTCAGGACACATGAAAAGCAGGTGGATCATGTAGTTGGATATCTGCCTGCTGCGTAGGGTGGTGTCTCCACTTAGACCTTGGGAGGATGTGTTGGGGTGGTAGAAGCAGAGGTCTGTGGCTATGTGCCACACAAGGACAATCTCGTCGAACGGTAGGTTGAGGCTCCAACCGAGTTGTTGTCCCAGCTGAGGGTGCTTCGACAGAGCCTGTTGTCCCCTGAGATTGTTGAATCTTCTGTATGTGGCAGCATCATGTATGCACTCCCACCCATCTTTTATGTACCGGCGAATCAACCCTTCAATCTCAAAGGCCGCAGGCACCTGCCAATTGTACCAATGCTTGTTAGTGTACTCCCTGAAGCACTTGAAGGCAGCAAGTTTCATCAAAGTGGTGGGCTGCTTCTTGCGAGCACAGAAGCACATGAGATTGTGCTGTGAAACCATGTCTGGCCAAGTAGCAGTTTTGCTTCCGAGCCTGAGCACAAAGGGCAACAATTGAATCATGACTGTGCAAGCAAACAGGATGTATGATACTATCACGTCGTTCTTATTGTAACCATCCTTGTTACTCTTGACGAAGAGCACCAGGGAAGCTAATGTCAGGAACGGAAGCAAGAACCATGAGCAGAAGCCAACACAACTGTTGAGTGATCTTGTTTTGGTGTACAAGGCACCATATGTATCCCTAGCCCATATCCGTAAAATTTTGTGTCCATACTTGTCATCCAGCTTGAGGAAATACTGCAGATAGTTAAGACGAACAGAGTACCGAGTAGATAGATCCACCAGCATCATAGAGATGTAGTTCATTGCACGGCGTCGAAACTTTTGATATGCTGTTCTTTGGTCATTTCCACTCGCCAGCTCCGTCTCTTTTACAAGCTTCTTTGCATCTTTTGCATATTCTTCAAGTGAAAGATTGCGTTTGTGTCCTTCCTCTCCTTCCCGCCCCACTGAAGCAAAATCCCCGCAATTCACAGTGCACCATGTCCAACATGGAGGAATGTATCCTTTTTCTCTTTGCACGGACAGACTTCTGGAAGCCATGCTATTGAAGCTGGCCCTCCGGAGGGCCCATGGCTTCTGAGTGAACTTGAGGATGCCAACGACAAAGAGCAAGACTGCCGCCTGAAGGAGTTTCTTCTGGCCGGACCACCACTTGCAGAAGATGTACAAGGCGACCGCGACTTGTGACACCAGAGTTATGACATGCCGCTTCCAAAGCTCATTGTCCTCGAGGCTGTAGGCACTTATGTTCTGGCCTCCGAGGTGAATGAGGAGGAAAGGCACCCATATGAGCTCGAGAGCGTCGCTCTCCACATCAGCAGTTTGCTGCTTTTGGCGGTTGAAGAGGATGGCGAGAGCGTAGACCGCTAGGGCATCCCCGCCTATGTGCGCCATCCACACCAGCACCCTCAACCTGCGTAGCTTATGCAATAGACGCATCCAATCAGAGAAGTAGAGGAAGAACTGGACAGAGAGGCTGCACAAGATGAGGACGCGCAGCTTCCACTCATCCCACCATTGCATTGCATCTGAGACACCCATGCACGCGGTGCTTCCTCTTCCTCCCTTGTTCACTTGGGTATTTTGGTTTTAGCTAGCTAAGCTTAATTTCTCCTCTGGTGACCCAATGTGATCGATGACCCTATACATACATGAAAGGGTGGTGCTGCCTTGTGATGTAATGAAGGTGGGCACTAGTCCAGTTCTCCTTTAATCTTTTGATTAATTAAATGGGAAAATGAAACATCAAAGCTAAAACGCTGCTGTAGGCAACCCCTTGCCAGCCCCCTCCTCGCCGCTGCCCGAGATCGCCACTTTCGGTCGCTGTGTGCTAGATCTGTTTTCATGAAGGATCTAATGATATTGATTTGGTATTGTAGATATTGATTGTTTTTCTATAAATTTGGTCAAACTCCAGAAAATTTGACTTAAGGCACAACTATGCGAAGTTGTAAAAAACAGAGGGAGTAAAATTACACGTGCTCTCTCAATCGAAACGATGCATAAATATTCTGCTTCTTCACCTTAGCCTTTTATTACTACAATAATTCTTGCCTGTTCCTCGCCGTGATCTGAGGGTAAGGGTGCACACATAAGCTCAAAGGGCCGGCAGGGTTCCTCTAACATACCCACGTGTGAGCATGATGACGTTCTTCTTTGCCTTTTTTCTTTTTTCATTTCATTTTCTGGTTGCTATCCCTTGCTTTGTTTTGGAGCAATCGTTGGCATTCGCATTGCTTGCTTGCTTGCGGTGTAGTAGCTCAGAATCAGATTCAGTGAAGCATGTGCATGCATACATAAATGTGCTTGCGGTGTAGAGGCCGGGGGTCTATCCTCCTTTTCAAAAAAAAAAAAAAAACATGCATACATCTCAGGACGTAGCTTGAGGCAAACTTCATAAGAGTATGCACCCACATCCACGGCTTGTCCCAGAATGCTCAAATACCAGTTGTTGAACAAAGCTCAGATGCCTCTCTACTCTATGATAGGCATTTCTCAGATTAATTAGTTCTTTCAAAAACTATGATAATTTGGGAGTATAGACAAAACGGCAACTCACACATTTCATCGACCATGTGATGATTAATTGATGGGGTCTTATTTCATTACTTCTGTTTTTCAGATTCTCAGATCATTTTTTTGAGATAGCGAACCACTCATGCCAAACGGTAGATTCTCTAGCCCTTTACCTTTGTTAGAACAATGCTTGTTACTTGTTCGCAGTGACCTCAGGGTAAAGGTGAACCGATATGATCCAGCAGCATCAAGCACAGCATTTTTAGCTTTCTTTGTGTGTGTTGTCATATTATTGCTGCTCACGTGCTTTTCATAATGGGTTCTTTTGTGCTTTCCTTTTTTTTATATCAGTTAGTTCCTTTTTTTTTACAATATACTTCCTTTCTTTTAGTTTAAGATGGATGGAGTATATGTTTTCTCATTTTGGATAGGGATGCCCCGTTAAACGAAAAAAATCACCCATCTTTCTTACCCCATTTAACCCAACATGCACCATATTTTACCCTTTATATATTTTTGAACGTTTTGCCAAGATGGCCCCACATGTCATGGCACACTTGGCGTGCCACAGACCACAGCGACTATTTTTTTTTTCCGGACGGTTGGTTCCCCGCTAGACCACATGCCAGGTTCTTTCTCGAATCACCAAGTTAGCTCATCCCGAGTACAAAAAACTGAAGTAATATAGCCACAAGTTATGCGGCATCATTCCTAGTGCGATAAAGTAAAGAAGTATAGCCACAAAGTGTACTGTAAAGTGAATGAAAGTAAGTGCATAAGAAAGGAAATCACAATACGAAGTGACTTGGGCGCGAGAAAGTAGAGGGGCTGGGAAGAGCATCACAAGACTTGTGTTGGACGCAAGAGGGGGTAGGGGAAGTGCTTTTAGTAAAGTACTGAAATGTGCGTACGACATTAACAAGTCGGACTCGGGTACAAGAAGGGGCGGAACCGCGGTAGGAGTTGCATAATGTAAAAATGGATATCAACAAGATCAAATGATCTGGAACGTAATAGTCGCAGTAAAGTAGGAGTAATTGGTAGACGAACTTGTAATGACTCACCAAGTCACCACCGATATGCTATGCAGGATGTTGGCCAGTTGGCCGATGCTGCCTCCTTCTTGGCGGCGACTGAAACTGCTGCTTGGTTGGCCTTCTTTCAACCTTAAGATTCGATGCTGCATCTTACTACCGATCCGCGGCGTAG